CGAAACTGAAATTGTTTGAAGGAAGAATCTCCGCTTGAATAAAAATCACTTTTCACGTAATATTGACTGTGCAAAAGCAGATATTCAAGCTCTGAAGGCTATCAGGTAGTGATGGATGCCACCCCTAATCAATATTCTTCAGTCAATCCATCTACTCTTAGAGAAAATGCTGCTCTTTTGCAGAAGATTACCATTTCCTTTGTTGACAAAAAAACTAAGTCTAAAGTTCTTGTGGAAAATGACAATATTCACAAACTTTCTATTCAATGATAAAAAAAAAAAACTTAAAGAATAATGTTATTGCCAATCTTACTCGAGAGATTGGCTCGACCACTACTTCTTTCGACCAAGTTGTAGAGGATTTCATGGACTTCTATTCAAATATTCTTGGAAACCAAACGGATGTTATAGGACCGGAAGATGCTGTCATCTGTAATGGCCCTATTTTAGGAAGGTCATTTTCTTACTAAAATATAGGTATGGACAAGGCCCTGGAAGTGATGGGTACTCACTGGATTTCTACACTATGGTTTACGACATTGTTGGGGCAAAAGTGTTCAATATGGTGAGGTATTTCTTTGAGAACGGTAAACTTCTTAAGTGAACCACACCAATCTTGTGCTTATTCCCAAATCTACAGCTTCTCTTGGAGCGGGAGATTTTAAAACGATCGAGTGTTGAAAGGTCATCTACGAAGTAATTTCTAAAATTCTTGCCAATCGGCTCAAGCTTGGACTCCACATCATCATTGATAAAGCCCAAGGGAAGTTTGTTCAAGATAGACATATGGCTAAAAACATCATTTGACTCCAAGAGCGCTATAATAACTACTCAAGAAAGTGAAGCTCCCCCTAATACATGATAAAGCTGGACCTCCGCAATGCATTTGACTCAATTTTGTAGGATTTCCTTCATGTGATTCTCTAAAAATTGAACTTCCTGGAAAATCTTGTTGGACTTCTGATGGAATGTGTTTCTACCACCTCTTTCTCATTGGCGATCAATGGTAAGACTTATGGCTTTTTTTCCGGGGAAAAAGTCTTAAAGCAAGGATACCCACTCTTTTATCTTACTTATTCATTAAATTTATAGAATTTTCGTCTACATTCTTGAATATGCAAAGTGATGAGTGAAAAATAAGAGTTTCAATATATTAAATTAAATCGGTAAATTTTGATATATTGCAGATGGTCAGATATTGATTTAATGAAAGTTTAGTTGCAGTTATCAATTTCTCTTCTATAAAAAAAATATATTTATTATATTCATTTAAATTGGTGAGTATACAAGTCGAACTCAAAGATTTTAAGGTATAAAATAAAATTAGAAGAATTCTTACAGATGAGTCTGGCTGAGCGGAGAATGCAGTAATAGGCTCGCTTGAGCAAGAAAAATAGTAAAAACAATTAATTAAATAAAGAAGTGAAGTGAGAAAAGTGAAAGTGAACGGATCAGTGGTTCCTAGGCGATGAGTGTAGTGATGATGAGGGTGAGCGGAGTGGCTATAAGTGAGCGATATACATATAATGTGGAAGTGAGCGAGTAATGACTGTTGAATGAGAATGGATTATGAATAGTAGTATACTGATGGTAGGGTAAAGTGATATGTTTGCGAGTGACCTATATTCCTAAATGGCTAGATATTTCTTGGACGAAATGAGCGGATGACGATGGTGAATTAATTGAACAATATAATACACATAACATGTATAAGACATAAATAAAACATGTGATCATACTTGTTTATTTGAATCAAATTCTTGAATTTACTAATACTTGACTTTAGGGGAGTTACAACAAAGTTTTAGCGACATCCAGTTAAGAACATTAGTTAAAAAAAAAACAAACACTGTCACTAGATATTTTCGTGACTTGATTAGAAAACACCTATCTCTAATGACTTGTTAATTATGTTATTTCTCTAGTGGCTCTACCTCTCCGATACTTCTTTTTAATCATGATTAAATTCAAATCAAAATTAAGCATGTCGACAAGGGTCCCTCGTACTTAATTTCTACGAACTACCTACTATTTGTTATTGCGACACGATCATAGGCTTAAATGGTTAATCCTTCTCTCGCTCTACCATATATATATATATATTTTTTAACAAGAATAAAGACTTAGATAATTAAATACAAATAGGGTTTTGTGAATGAAGATGCAATTGAAGAAAAAAAAATGATATTTCATTAAAATTAATGAAAAACTATAAATTTATACTAACAAATAGTAATTTAAAATAAAAAATAAAAGCAAGAAATCTTCTTGGAATGCCAAAACTAAGGGGAATCAAAGGTGATGAAAGCTCTATTGATCACCTGACCTACACCACACTAAAGATAACGCTTTATATTTTGTAACTCTCAAATCAAAAGAACAGAATAATAGTAATGCACTAAAACTTGGAGATTAAATGTTGTTTATAAAGAAAAAACTAGCCTTAATTATAGAGAAATCAAGAACGGCAATTGAGTAGTTGAGAACAACAATTGAGATGTTGTTAAAGGTTAGTTGGAAGCGCTGGGCAATTAGGTAGTTGACCGGTAAGTTATTATATTATGTTGAAACTTCCATAACTCTTAGTTTTCTCACTGCATCCTTTACTACGGGCGCAGATCTTTCTCCCCGCTTTAGCGGAATGAGGGCATCGGCATCACTCAAGTGGAGCTGGCTTTCTTTGCATGTCGGAACTGAAATGGTTGTACCGATGTGATATCCGCTTCGCTCAAACAAATAAGAATTTAACTTCATGGTTTCGTTGTAGTTAGGCTTGAGCAGGATTCTCGTCGCTCATACAAAATGTGTCTACCTTTGCCGCTTCGTTTAAAATCAATCATATAGACTTCACTACCAAAAAATATCAATTTTGTAACAAGATTTTTTCGTTGTTAAATCCACTTTTTCCGTTACTAATGATATTAGAGACGGAATTTGAGATGGAATTACGTTAGCTACGTGAACTTTAGTAACAGAATTCCGTTACAAATATACTATTTTTTTGTAGTGCTTGGATTTCGCTTAAATTGGGCTAAAAGGTTAGTGAATCTTTACTATGGATAATTAGATCATATCAAGTGAAAAAAAATCAATAAAATATGTCATAATCTAAATATTATGATAGTTTTCACATAAAAATTCCAAATAATACCCATATTTAATAAGTAAAAAATATGCTCAAATTTGGAGTTATCACAAAACCATAACCGGGAGTTGAATTTTTATCCGGTCTGTTCGGAGATGAAAATTACTCACCTCGCTTTTACAGATGATATTATTTTGTTTTGTGGGGACAACTATTCGGTTGGGATCTTGCTTGATTGCATTTTTCATTTTGCGATATTTTTGGGCTCATGTTGAATGTTACGAAAACTACTATTTATGTGGGTTGCGCCTCCCATGAGATTACCGAATCCCTTGTCTTAGCTACCGGCTTTAATAAGGTTACTATTCCCTTTAAATACATTGGCGTTTGGGTTGCCCCTAGTAAATTGAAAGTCACCCATTTTGATGATTTGGTCGCTTCGATCTTAGAATACATTCGGAAATGGAGCTATTGTAATATATCTTACGCGGGTCGTCTTGAATTACTCCACTTGGTTATCCAAGGTATATGTTTATTTTGGCTTTCAATCTTTCCCATGCCCCATCACGTTCATTCATTATATTACAAAGATTTTGTGGACATTTCTTTGGCAAAACAAGTCAGCAGTTGTTTCTTGGAAAGTTATTTGTGAGCCAAGGGATGAAGGTGAGCTTGGTCTATGTTCCCTCACGAAATGGAATTTTTTTATGCTTGCCAAATTCATTTGGAGGTTTCGACGAAAAAAAAATCTCTATGGGTCAAATGGATGCACCATTGATACTTTAAATTCCACCATGTTTGGCATCGACAACATGTATCTCCTGATTCATTCTTTATGAAATCATTAGCTTCTACTCGAGATAAGCAAATCTCTTATTTTGAGAGCGTTGATCATACTAAGGTTGAGTTTACTCGTTGGTTCAGCCATGGTGATGCTATCCAATCTATTTATAACATTTTCAGAAACTCGAGAATCAAGTGGCTCTCTTCCTTGCTTAACTGGTGCAAACTGATTCTCCCTAAGTACACATTTATTTTGTGGTTTACGATGTTAGGTAAATAAAAAACTAAGGATTGTATGAGCTTCCTCGATATAGATCCTTTGTGTGTTCAAGGGGCATCCGAAGGACATCCAACACATTATTTAAATGCCAATTCTATTTGGAAGGACATCTATATTTGACTTAAAGTTCATTTGGACTATGATTCGATCCAATGGATTATGAACTAGCTTCAGAACAGTATAGACAAAGACTAGAGCCCACACTTCATGAGGCATATCGGTTTTGCGGGCACTGTCTACTATATTTGGACAACACAAAATGAAGGAGCACTGGAGAATTTTGCCTTGGATCCTATCATATCAATAACTAAAAATAAAATATGTTGATACCATATCTTTTATTCCTTAACAGGTATTATATCTTGGAACTGAGCAGCTTGAAAAGTCTTCTTTTGAGCAACTAGAAGCAAAGAAGATCATCTAGATTGTGAATCTTCTCGTTACCCATCAATATGGAGCCTCAAATTAATTCTTAGAAAGATGGTGAATCTCCTCTAACAACAATTGCAGTCATCCCGCACAACCGATAAGGCTGTTGAAATCACTGCTGCCAAGCATGAAGTTCGTGACGCAGTCAGGAGGGCTGCTGCCAAAAAGGTTGCGAAGGCAGCGTACAAATAGGCCTTTAAGGCTGCGATGAAGGGGGCACAACTTGTTGTTGCAACCTCCAACCAGCCTGTTGTGGAGAGAAAAAATGGGATCTTGTTGATACCTGTCTGAGACCGTTTGCTGTTGTTCTGCCTCGTCCGTAGCGTATGGCTGCAGAACTTGCACAGGGTCTTGTTGTGTCTGCCGGACAACAACTAGACGAGTTGGAGGATATACAACCCTGTTGATGTTAAGGACCATGTAATGCAGCCTGTTGCTGCAGCAGCCGAAAAGCCAGAAAAGTTTAACGGGCAGAATTTCAAAACTTGGCAGCAAAAGACATTTTATCTAACCATGTTGAATTTGGTAGACTGGCTGATGGAGGATGCATCTGTTGTGCCTGAAGGATCCTTGGAAGAACAGAAAGCACAAATTCTGAAAGCCTAGAAACTAAGATTTTATGTGCAAAACTTATGTACTGAACTGCTTGAGTGACTCCATGTGTGGTGTTTAGCGGCACGCGCTAACGGCTAAGAAGCTGTGGGAGATGCTGAAGAAAAAGTACATAACCGGGGTTGCTGGTGCAAAGAAATTTATCATCGAACGGCTTCTGGATTTCAAAATGGTCGATGAAAAAAGCGTTACAAAATAGCTTGATGCGTTTTAGCTGATTATGCATGAGATCCAGGCCGATGGGATAGAGCTAAGTGAAGCCTTCTAATTGGCGACAATAATTGAAAAATTGCCTCATAACTAGGGTGATTTCAAGATTTACTTGAAACACAAATGGAAGGAAATGGATATGGCGAGACTGATCAATCGTCTCCAAACTGAAGAGGAGCATAGATCAAACCTGGCAAGTAGGGGACATCTAATGCTCGGCACGAAAGCCAATAAAGTCAAACACAAAGGCCAAAGCTCTCGTTTCAAGACTTCTCCGAGGAACAATGAGCTGTCTGGAAAGAATTGGAAGCCCGCGGACAAGGAAAAGGAGAAGCTGAAGCCATCTGGAGGTGTTGAGAAAGAAAAGAGTAGTTTCAAAGGCACTTGCTTCAATTTCGGGAAGCTTGGACACCGTTCGGTAGACTGCAAAGCGCTAAAAAAAAAGAGATGAATCAGACACACTTTGTTACTAAAGATGAAGAGCCATTCAATCTGACATATGTTGTCTCTGAGGCAAATGTGATGGGATCGAACAAGAAACAGTGATGGCTCGACACGGGAGCAACACACTACATCTGCATGGACATGAATCAGTTCTCCTCATTCATGCGTATCAAAGGAGAAATGATGTACATGGGGAATGCTGCTCCTGCTAAAGTCAAGGGAAGAGAAAATGTGCTTATGAAGATTACGTCTGGAAGAGTTTTGATGCTGACTAATGTCTTGTACGTGCCAGCGATGATGAAGAACCTAGTCTCGAGGACCCTCCTGATGAAACACAGTTTTAATACTAATATAAATGGTGATAATTTTGTTTTGCATAAATTAGGAGTGTATGTGGGTAAAGGTTATGTGGAGGATAGACTTCTGAATTGTTGTATTATGCCTGTCATTGAAAATAATAATAATAAGTTTGTTGTTTATCTTGTTGAGTCCTTTACTTTATGGCATAATCGATTAAGTCATGTTAATTATGATTCAATTCATCGATTAATTAACTTGAACCACATTCCAAAGTTTGAATTAAATAAATATAAATGTGAAATTTGTGTTGAAGCAAAACAAACTTGATCGTCTTTCCAAACAATACACCGTGAAACTAAACCACTCGAATTCATTCACAGTGGCATGTGATTTAAAAATTTATACAAACATGGGGTGGTAATAAATATTTTATTATATTTATTAATGATTGTACAAAATACTGTTATGTTTATTTACTTAAAAGCAAAGATGAGGCATTAAGTACATTTATTTTGTACAAAAATGAAGTGGAAAACTAATTTATCAAATGGATTAAACAAATTCAAATTGATAGGGGTGGATAATTTGATACTCTGATCGGTGAATTTTATTCGCAAAATGGAATAATTCACGAAGTAACTTCACCTTACTCACCTCAATCAAACAGCGTTGCTGAATGCAAAAATCGCACATTAAAAGAAATGATGAATGTGATGTTGTTAAGTTGTGGACTACCCCTAAATATGTGGGGGGAGACAATTTTAAGCAGTAATTATCTGTTTAACTTAATACTTCGAAAAAAGATGGAGAAGCCCCTTATGAGTTTAGAAAGGTAAAAAACCATCTTACAAACATCTTCAAGTGTGGGGGTGTCTAGCTAAGGTAGTGGTGCCACCTCCTAAAAGTGTAAGAATCAGTCCCAAAACAGTGGACTGTATTTTCATAGGATATGCACAAAATAATACTGCCTATCGATTCTTGGTATTTGATTCAAGAATTTTGGATATCGCAAAGAATATGATAATAGAATCAAATAATGCATCATTCTTTGAAAATGTGTTCCCTACAAAGGTAGGCGCTGAATCTAATTCGGTCAGTCGAGAACACAAAACAGGGAATCAAGATCGAATGAAAGTGTATGAATCCCCATCTGAACTAGTTCAAGAACCTGAGCTCATAAGAAGCGAGTACAAGTTGAAAAGTCGTTTGAAAATGACTATTTCACTTATCTCCTTGAAAACGAGCTTCAAACATATGCTGAGGCGATGAGGTCTCCTCAAGCGCCTCTCTAGAAAGAAACTCTAAAAAGTAAAATTGATTATATTATTTAGAATCACACGTTGGAACTTGTAGATCTCCCACCTGGTTCAAAACATCTTGGATCAAAATGGATATTCAAGAGAAAATTAACACTAGACAACACAATAGAAAAATACAAGGCAAGACTTGTAATCAAAGGCTATAAGCAGTGAGAAGGCCTAGATTACTTTGACACATATTCTCCTGTCACAAGAATAACATCCATTAGGATGATCCTTGCTATAGACGCTCCGCGGAATCTTGAGGTACATCAAATGGATGTGAAAATGACATTTTTAAATGGAGATCTTGATGAAGAGATCTACATGGAATAACCGGAAGGCTTTACAGTTCCAAGAAAGGAAAATAAAGTCTGTAGACTTGTGAAATCACTGTATGGACTTAAACAAACTCTAAAGAAATGGCATGAGAAATTTGATCATACCATGATGGATAGTGGTTTCAAAATCAATGAACGAAATAAATGTATATACACAAAGACCACTAAGTCAGGTTATTTGATTATATGTCTTTACGTAGAGAAAATACTTATCATTGGTAACAACGATAACATCGTTAAATCCACCAAAGACATGTTAAGTTCTAAATTTGACATGAAGGACATGGGTCTCGCTGATGTGATATTAGGAATTAAGATCAAACGAACCGAAAATGGTATAATTTTGAGTCAAACTCATTATGTCGAAAAAATCCTTGAAAATTCAGCAAGGATGATACAAGAATAACGGCAACCCCATTGGACATAAGTATCCATTTATCCAAAAGTCGTTGAAAGGGTGTATCACAAATCGAATACGCCCGGATAATTGGAAGCTTGATGTACCTGATGAGCTGTACCAGACCCGACATATTTTATGTTATAAGCAAGCTGAGTACATATACGAGTAATCCTAGTTGTGAGCATTGGAAAGCCATCGTTCGGGTACTTAGGTACTTACGGTACACTCGAGATTACGGACTGCACTATCGTAGACATCTAGCTATGTAGAAGGCTACTCAAACGTGAACTAGATATTTGATACTCTTAATTCGAGATCAACTAGTGGATATGTGTTTACACTAGCTGGTGCAATAATCTCTTGAAAATCCTCAAAATAAACAATTATTGCCAAATCTAAAATGGAATATGAGTTCATTGCATTGGATAAAGTCGGAGAAGAGGCAAAATGGATTCGCCACTTCTTTGAGGACATTCTAGAATGGGACAAACTTGTTTCTGCCATAACCCTCTACTGCGATAGCAAATCTACTATTGGTATAGCAGATAGTACAATATACAATGGAAAGAGTCGCTACATTCTCCGTCGACACAATTCCATAAAACAATTGATCACAACTAAGGTTATTGCGATATACCATTTTACGTCAATGGATAACCTATCGGATCCGCTAACCAAAGAGTTAAATCGTGATGCAATTTATAAACTGACAAGAGGAATGAGGCTAAAGCCTGCTGAGGAAAAAAAATTATAAAAGAAAACCCAACCTAGAAAGATTGGAGATCCCAAAAACTAGGTTCAATGGGACAACCTGCCTATAAGATTTTTGTGTGTCACTGTAGGGGCTAATATCGATACATTCATTTGAACAAATGGTGACAAAGTAAGGAGGATAGAAAATGATTGCTTTAATGAACACTAAATAAGTGTTGTATCACTTGGAAACTTAAAAAGATCACCTATGTGAGAGAAAAGATGGGACCGCTTCAAAGGAGAACTATTCAGGCACAAAACTTTAGAAACTCTCGCAGAACCAGGATGGGTTCCATGGCCAAAACAGACCAAACAATAAGAACCAAACTAAGAACAAGGATTTTGTGTCGGCATGTAATTTATTTACTAAGAAACTGAACAATTCAAGAACAACGTGTCTTTTGGACAGTTGATAAAAACTATGTACTGTTCAAAGGAAAATTCAAAGGGGAAATCTACTTATCCTATGCATAATTCAATTTTCATTCATCGAGCTGTTATTTTTTCCTCTTTCATGTGGGGGATTGTCGGTGTGTGAAGATGAAAGAGGAAAACGAAGAGGAATTTGAAAGGTCTTGTTCCCCACATGGGAAGATTAAAGAAACTATACCATCCATAAATTCCATGTTGTCCCTACTCCCATTAAAAGAACTAATTGGATTGGATTGGGTCCAACTAGGCTTGGGCCTAGCTTGAAATATGATTGGGCTCATATATATAGTCAAGGTTGGGCTTTAGGGCCGTGGGGCTCGTGGGCCAGGCTCCATCGCGGTAAAATTCAATTAATTCTTAATTTTCATTTTATTTGATTAATTTATTTTATTTTATTTTAACTGTTAAAATCTAAATTAATAGGATAAAAGAAAGTTGTTACAATAGTTTTTAACGTGTGCTAATAAAAGTTGGGTGGTTGCGGATTTTATGTCCTCGGAATATTAATATTCCTCTTAAATAAAAGAACAAATACACCAACAAAATACTAGGGTGTGTTTGTTTGGGGGTTTGGATTTTGAGTTGGGATTTGAATAGTAAAAATTTTGAATTTGAATAGTTGTATGATGTGATATAAATAGGTGATGATGTGATGTTTTGAAAGTAAAATTGATTTTTAGCATAATATAAAAAATAAAAAATAGATGTTTGATTTGATTTTTTGGGGGAAAAATTTAGGATGAATAGTGGAATTTTGTCCAAATCCATCAAACGAACACGTGAATTAACTATAAAAATCACTACAACTCTGCAATTTTTTTTTTTTGCTTTTACATTATCTCAAAAAATTAAAAAATCTCTTGGTTCGGTTCGCAGTGGAACTATTGATTCCAATTTATTCATTTTATCCTGGAAAGTAATCGGCGGCAGACCGAATTTGCTTCAAGAAGATCACGTGCAACACTAAACTCGAATTTGTCTCCTGTTCTGAAATTTTTTTTGTTAGATTTTGATTTGGATAATTGGTCATCTCGATTTTCAATTTAGTTTCTAATATTTCATGATAGAAATCGAATCGCAATCTTCAAGTTTGAATATATTGTGTTCTTCAAGTGCAACACTCCTTAAGAACAATGAGTTCTTTGTGCCATTCTTTCCACGATGAAACTGAGAAAAATAAATGTAGCGTTTAGATTTGGATTACAACTGTATATTATTCACTATTATTACTTTGCCCCAATTTAATGGATTTCATGTAGAAGATTTGCATTTATTAAATACATTTTAACTCAATAAATTTAATAGATAACTTTTTAGGCCTAATTTGACTGATAGTCTAAACAATTTACATTTAACATATAATTGAATTTTTAACTCAATATATTTTCCTCTACGTCTTGTTGTTTGCCTTCATGGATGTTAGTAGTCGACGGTTTCTCTATTGCTTTGGTCTGTCCATCTGAATTTATTGTGGGATTGTTGTTTGGATTGATAGAATTGTTTTTTTCGTTTCGTGAGGTTTGTCGTTATGAATTGTTGAATATTTTTGTTTGCGGATCGTTGCTAGGTTGGGCGTTCAGATTGTTGTTCATCTATTGGATATCTCATTGTGGATTTTTGAATGTTTTTATTCCCATATTGTTGTTAGGTTCAAATTTTGACTATTATCTACTAGTATGGGAGAGTCATACATTTGTATTGTGCTATATAACGCTTATTAAGAGCAACTCCAACCCACTACAAAAATGCAGTGAATTGTGCCAAAATTTGGGGGAGGGGCTTCAACCCATCCCCAAATTCCCCCTGTTGAGCACAAAAAATAATAATAATAATAAATAATAGCAGTAAGATTCTGGATGGGTCTGAATATAAGCCAA